AAATTAGCCTGTGCAAACTTCCACATTAGAGCTCGTGTTTCCCAGCCACAAATGATGTTTTAATATATTGGAAGAAAACATACTGGAGCAAGGTGGATGCATTTTCTTTCATTCCCCACTTCTGACTCAACTGTCTGCTTAAAATGGGCAGTGACCGAAAGACCAGGTGAGAGAATGCCATGTTTCTGGTCCCTAGGAGCCCGAGGCCTCGGAGGAGGATCCACCTATTCCCATCAGAGACACCGCACACTGTTAAGGTTTCAGTTACAAAGAATATACTCCATTTTTAAAAACATCGATGCTTTGGCAAGTTAAAAAACCCAGCCGTTGTCCTAAATGTCTTTTACTTAGGCAGGAAGCAGAAGCAAGCCACGAATCTCGTTACTGTCCTTGCAGTGATTCCCCCAAGCCCCGTGTCCGATGAAGTCCCTGCCACCTGGCAAGCCTCCACCTCTCCCTCTTCCCCACGCGGCCCCCGAGCGGCAAGCACTCGCCTCAACTGCTCCGGCCCAGCAACTCCCATTCTGACCTCTTACCTCTTTCGCCTATTTTTAGGAGATTCTTTTGACCTCAGAACCTCTTCTCTTCAGCATTTTCTTCTACATCCTTTTCACATCCCTCCTTTCCCAAATTTCAAAATGTACCCAAGTAAATGCAGACTGGAAATGCCTATGCTCCCCAAAATGCCCACAGACACCCCTGTATCTCTTTCACCTCCCTGGGGCACCTGCAGGACAGACAGGAGAGCCAAGAGTCAGTGTGTTTAGGAAGTCAACAGCACATGCCTGGTTGGGACAGTCAGATGACCACAGTTTAAAAACAGAGCTAAAACACAACTTCCTACTTAGCGAAACTCTGTCTTTGCATTGAGAACTCACTTTGGGAGTCAGTTTCAGATATTTGCTCTTCTGGGAACACATCTGAGCTATTAAGTGAAAAGAAATACCTGTTGGTACTCAGGCCGTGTTATAATGTAATCAGAAGTCCCTCCAACAGTGGCAAAATGGAAAATGATGCACACCTTCCAGCTGACTTCAAGCACACTAATAGCTCAGTGGCAGCATCCTGGGTTTAAAAAAGCAATGGCATTCATCCTCCAGGACTTTACAGGGGGAGGAAGGGGGGCTTTGACAGACTTTCTCTGAAGAGTTTGGTCAAGAATGACCAATGACTGCGTAGTAAGAACTAATTTACAGTATCAAAGCTATAAACATGTCTGATTTTTCTTACCTAAGATTTCTGAAGTGCTTATATATGTATTGTCTGAACTCTCATGTTGATTTATGACTGAGTTTTCAAAGCCTGGAATTTAAATGACTTGCCTAAAATCATTCCTGAACTTCTGAAATTCAACTCAGACAAATACCGCAAATGAAACCCCTTACATATGAAGCACTTAAGCAAAAGAAGTTAGAATTTCCACGAAAGGCCCCGGGACTCCTGAAGGAGAAGGGGACACAGTAAGCATGCAAATGTATTTATTTATCTTTCTGGTTCCTCTCACCTCTGCCCCTCCAAACCTCAGGCTGTCATCTTAATGAACGCTTTCAAGCCTCCGAGGGAATTACGAGCAGCATTTGACAGGAGCGAGGAAGGAGCTAAATATAGTCCCCTGCGAGAGAAATACATTCCACGATCTGCTCTCCCCTTCCTTCCCCTATCTGGGAAATCTCTCCATATTGCGATGGTATTTTTGGGTGCTCTTGTATGGCAAGTTTAGTTGTTGGCTGGGACAGAAGAAAGGTAACATCATGAGATACAATTTTGTCCTCTTTCGGAAGGGTCATTTAATAAAGGGAAATGAGATCAATTTCCAAATTAATATTGCATATATTCCCTTTGTGTAATTTCCATTTGCCTAACACTTCAGAATTTCTAGTGGTCTCATATAATTAATTCATTTAATCAGTACAATCTGAGAGGTAAATAGAGCAACCGTGGTGGGTACAACCAACTCACATTTTGTCAGTGTAAAGCGGTTTAAGATCAACCTGCCGGTAAGGAAAGAAACAAGGACTCACCCAGCTCTTCGGATCTCAGACCTGCTGCTTTGCTTTCTCTCACGCTGCAAGTACATCTGGCCTGCCTGAGCAGTGTAGACCTTATGTCATGGCTACTCTCCCCTCTTTATTAGATATTAAGAACTTCCATTCCTTAATTTTTAGAAATACATGCTTTAGCATAATAAAGTAAAAATCTTGCCCTCTCTAAAACTGCTAATGTTGATATACTATAGATCAGAAAATACCCTAAAAAAGGTACAGAGAGGGGCAGGTGGACTTCTGGCTTTCCTGAATATGGCTATTTTTGAAAAGCTCTTCCCAGAACTGTCTGATCTATTTTCAACTGATAAATCAAATAATGCTTCATTTTAAAGTTCAGCAATCAATACATGGCTTATTGAGGACAAAAGTGACCTTTCGTAAATATTGAAAAATTAAAAGTAGAACATGCGTTTTGGAGTAAAACAATCGTTGATGCATTGACTGAAGTAAGGAGCTTAGAAATTATTTTACTGATCAAGACAATACCTTGAGGTGCAATACTCTCTCTCCTTAGGAATGAGCTGGCATCTATTTTTCTTTGGAAAATTAAAGACAATTAAATTTGGGATTGTGATGTCTCTAAATAGGATGATAGTTATCATAAAGTAGAAGTGTGATAGAATCAGTTATCACAACTTTCTGTTGCTTGGCATTTTTGAAAACTGATGGAGTTCAATAAAAGATACATTATGGATTTGGGAAATATTAAGACCAAGAGACTAACAAACAATCCATTCCATTAATTAACATATCTACTTTAAGACAATCAATATGACAAGCATTCACTTAATGTACTGATATACACCTTTTTAGGTACTGCCACATCATTGTGGAAAGAAATTCAAAAATGTTAACACTCCAATAGGTGACTTCCTCTTTGGTCAGCTTTCACTATAGCACAGGAACTATGACCAGTGACCACTATGACCAGTGACCGGTAACGGAGATAGTACTATATATTTGGCTTTCTGCCAAAGAGTTGATCCTTTTTGATATTCAAATAACCATGTTGAGACAGGTATTATTGTCCTAGTATTATAGATGAGAAATCAATAAAAACCTCCCCCATGAAGTGGATTGCAAAAAGCAACTTGCTCCACTTGCATTGCTAGGAAGTGGCTGAGCCCAGCACCCAGCCTGTCTCCCTGCCCCGGCAGCACTGCGCTCCTCCCGCTGCAGAACCGACTGGTCCCTCTACAGCTCACTCCTTTCAAGCAACCTTCAGTTAGCCCATCTTCAGCAACATGAATCGTCACTATTTAGGGTTCCCTCCTGGGGGAGGGCCTATATCATTTGCTAAATATAAGGTAGCTACCACGTTAATGAAATTTACCTAAAAGGTTTAAAAACAGGGCATCTGGGTGCTTTCTACTCACTGAAAATGTTACATGTAAATCATGGGTGTTAACTTTCATTAAGGAGAACTCATTCTACCTATGACAAAACTAGAAACAATCAATGCCACAGAAGTTTTTAAAAATTATATTTAATACAAGTGAATAGATTAGAAGATCTGAAATGTTATAAAGCAATGTACACAATGAATAAATAATTTGCACAGGAGAAAAATGTCTACATTACATAACACTGTCTAGTACGGGAATACTTAAATCCAGTGATAATGGAGAAAAGTCCATAAAAATGCTAACCTGTCTTCCCTTGTATGAAATTTTTCAAGTATAAAAATCCAATACAGTGTAAAATAGTATTCAATTTAGTTTTAAGAATAAAAACGGCAAGTATTGCGGTTTCAGAAGAAAACTGTAAAGCAGCATTTAGAAACTACAGAAACTATGTAAGAATAGTGTTTAATGAAGTACCCAAAAATGAGATCTACACGAGCAAAAATCAAGAGAAGCATGAAACTAGCAATATATCCTGTTTAAAAACAACCCTAAGAACTAAAATAAATTAAAATGTGTTAATGTAAGAGTACTCTCTTATACAGTGCACATATGAATTTAAATAAATCCAAGTCAACATCTTTAGTTGAATAGGTTAATATTTAATATGCTACATCTAGACCTACTAAATAATTTATGCCATGAGATGAATACATAATTTTACAGTGTCACATCTAAAGTTCCTTTCTTTAGAGTGTAGCATAGTAAAACTTAAAAATAAATATCTTAAATAGCATTACTATTAAGGCACAGTATAAACCACATTATCATTAACCTTTGAAGAACTGTAATCTCAGTAACCTTGTTGTCTCATGTACTGTATTCACTAATAAATAGTTTTAAATATGACTCTGAAGTATACTAAAAAGTGTAAAATTATTTAAAAAGGGGGGAAAAATAAATGTCCTTAAGACAAAGCTTAAGGGCTGAGAGTCTGCAAACGTTGCCTGCCTTTAGTTATAAGCCACGAGTCGACACAATAAATAGAAAGAGAAGGCTGTTGTAGTAAAAGCCTGATCCTATTTCAGAATCAGAATTGCTGACACCAGCAGATACAAGTTTCCCAAAATTGAAACAGGATGGGGAGAGGGATTAGACTGTGACAAGCTCATCAAACAAGCTCAAGTGATGCGTTCTTTCCAGAACTGTGTGTGTGCTTGATTGTCTGTACAGCTGTTGCACCCATTAATTCCACATCACTTGTCCTAAAGTCCTGCTCATCCACGGGGTGGAGGAGAAAATCGCTTTGGTGCCTGTCCACCATCGTCCCACTGCCACGCTCCTAGAGTGATTGTTCGATGCCCGTTTTCGAGAAAGTAAGAACATTACCTTCTTACTCGCAAAAGTTCTATAGGCCATAGTGTGACTGCTTAAAATGACAATCAGTGCTTTCACCACTGGTTTTTTACATCTGCTTTTAAATGTAATGCAAGCTACATATTGCTCACTCTGTATTCCCTGGTTCAACGAGAGTCAATAGCATTTTCTAACTTGGAAAAGGCAGTTTGCTTCCCTGATACTATAAAAAGAGCAAAAATAAAAATCCCCTTACAGAAGTGAAGCTCCTTCGCGACTCCTGCCGTCACGTGGGGCGGCCTCACTCGGGCTCTTTGGGGTTGACGTCCCACACCGCGCCCCCCGCCTCGGCCCCGCCCCCTGGAGGCGGGGGCGCCCGCGGGGCGCCCTCGGGGCAGGGCCGCCGCGGCCCCGGGGCTACTGCATGCGGTCGGTCTGCAGCTGCGGCGGCTGGTACTGGCCGAAGGCGGCGGCGGCGGCGGCCGCGGCAGCGGCGGCGGCGGCGGAGCCCGGGGCGGCCGCGGTGATTGGCTGCTGCACGGCGTAGCCGTAGCCGCCCGCCGTGACGTAGCCCGCGGCGGGCGAGGCCGCGTACGGGTACTGGTCGTAGGCGGCGGCGGCGGCGGCCGCGGCGGCGGCGGCCGAGTACTGCGCGTACGCGGCGCCCGTGTAGTCGATGTACGGCGTGGAGGCGGCGGCCGCCGGCTGCACGTGCGGGATGACCACCCCGGGCTGCACGAACGCCTGCGGGTAGACGTAGTGCGCGGGGATCCTGCGGAGAGACGGAGAGCGGGGTCAGGCGGCCGCGCACCGCCCGGGCCCACGGGGCAGGCGGATTTAGTGGTTATTAGAGCGTAGGGTTGCCACAATATCAGGGCCTCCTCGCCGGGGCCCGTCGGAGTGCCTGGCGGGAGCCAGAGCCACGGGGCGCCCCCGAAGGAGCTCCGCGCAAATCGGGGTGTCGCCCGCCCTGCGAGCGTTTGCGGCGAGGCCCACTTGGAACCAAGAGATGCCCCTTAGCATAGGCTTGGGAAACACACTGGGGCTCGCGTCCATAGCAAGGCCTTCACTGATTCAGACTTTAGAAAAATTTGTAAGGAGGCCATAAAACAAAAACAGTTGAGCGAATGGAAAAATGCTTAGCCGTGGGCATAAGGCCCAAACGGTAATCGGTGATCATTCAATCGCGGGGGGTGATGGCCCAGGTTCTCGAAGCTGAAATAAGTTTCAGCATATCCCGAGGTTTATTATCATGGCAACCCTACTTGAAATCGCTATGCAGACTCGGCACACATTAATCTCTCTGCAACTCCAGTCACCCTTATTAAAAATAAAAATGAGAAAAGAAGCAGGCGACAAAATAAAAAAGGAGTTTAAAGGTTCACAAGTGTGGTAAACACAGCAGAATCACACTTCTCAAACGAACTGTAGTGCAGCTCACTCTAGTACAGGAGGCTGTTGTGGGAAGCTACAGAAATGCTGTTAACACTCATGGCAGTGATTCCCAAAGATGTGCAGCACGCTTTTTGTCTTTCTTTCTTTCTTTCTCTCCATAAAACTCATAAGGACACAAGGGTCAATCAAACCTGTTTGACTATCAGGCAGCTGAAGGTCAGCCAGCTTGTTTATCTCTATGCAAGACAGACAGAAGGGATTTCGGGGAAATGATGAGGTTGAGGGAAAAGGAAGGGACAGGGAAATACAACTAAGTATTTCGAAAATTAATATAGACCTAAAAAGTTTACATAATATGAGTAAAGAAACATTTCTTTGCACATCAACTAACTCGTTTTATCCTCCCAATCAACAGAGATAGGTTAGCATATCTGTGTTAAATCTGCCCTGCTAGTAGATACTTTAAACGAATCAATTCTATTATTATGTATTATCCGACAAACGTTCCAGAAAGTGAAATAAAATTAAATACCTTTTAAAAGTATACACTCAGAGATCACATCCAAGACACATTCCGATGACCTTACTTTAAAGTTAATGTTGTTAAAAAACAAATCACAAGAGGTATTTTAAAAAAAACCCATGCACCTCAATTCTTACTCTTGCAGTTCATTATTGCCCATTTAAAAAGCTATCATAAATATCTAATTTATTAAAATAATCTCCATCAAAACCCCCTATATTTCTAAAAACATGACAACATAATGCCATCTGGTTGTTGGCAAAGCCAGCTTGTAGAAGCACAAACAACGATCTTCAAATTTTAAAGAACTCAAAACAGAAAACTTCCTGTTTAGATTTTCGAAAACGTAGATTTTGTTTTGCCTTTTCAGAGTTTTCCTGAAAGCACTCATTAATGAACATCCATGGAAAAGAGGAATTTATCACAGAGGGTAGTGAACTTTGACCCCAATGATAAAAATACACTCAGTTTTACTAGACTTGTAGATCTTTCCCAGTGCCAGGAGAAACGTCATCAAGTGTTTCTGAGGACACTTAAGAGATGTTCTTAATGGCTTGTCAGAAGCCAGATGCGTGGTCATGCACACGCTCAAAACTTTTCTGCAGGTCAGGTGACTGGCTCACTTACAGCGACAGGTGTGGCTTTACGAAACACTGTCCCTGGAGGCTGCCGTGTCCACAATGTGCGGACACGGTTAAGAGAACCTACAGTCATGCCAGTTTACATGTGGTGACGGACAGCAGGGGCTGCAGCCGGGCTATTTTTGATCCTGTCATGCGACAAGGGTTTCCAGCGGGTAAAATGTCTTTATAAGGCCAAAGTAAAACATCTATCAGCTGCAAAGGCCAGCCAGTATGAATCTCACTGATACTGAAACATTAACCCCTGCACTCCCAAATTTCTAAGGAATATGGGATGGTTGCTAGGCTCTTTCAATAAAGGTGGTAACTGACAATAAGGTTACCCTAAAAAAAGGCAGGATAAAATTCGTGTGTGCGTGCGTGTGTGTGTGTGTGTGTGTGTGTAGAATGCATTAAAAGTCAAGCAAAAGACTCTTGTCTCTGCATTTATTTTACATTAATAATATTCATTTGATAATGCCAGCCAATAACGGCATAAATTTCCCTGGAATATCAGAATGCTACATGAAGTCTGGTAAGAGTCAGCAATACATCTGGGAGGCCAATGAAACACTAGAGTCCTTTAAGGGTTAGGGAAAGGAGAGCCCAGAAGACCATGGACAGCCTAAAATATCTTGGTTTCCAGAAGGAAGGCAGAATCAGAATAAAAGGTAAGATGGCACTGCTGAAGCAATTTTATATTAGGAGACTTACTTTAATAATAATGTTTATAATTTTTAATAATAATAATTAAATTAATTGTCTAAGGAACCCAGGAAGGTGATTTGGGTATCTCCCTCCTATTAGAGATCTACCAATGTCCCTAAGTTAATCACAGAATGTTCCTACCTGCTAGTTACAGAAGCGCAAGAACAAAGTAGATACTTCAGGCAATCTTCAAAGAAAATTTACGGTGATTCCCTGGGTCTCCTGTCTCTTCAGGTCCCTCTGGCTGCTCTCCGTGACTTCTGACATCCTAACTGGTCCCCCCTTCCAATCTCCCCCAGCTACCAACAAAGTCTCACTCACTTGCTCAAAGTAATCTGTGGCCCCTAATGTCATATCTGCACAGACTCACTGCGCATTTCTTCCCTTTGGCAATGCTAGGCCTTTCTTGTTTTGGCTCCAAAATCCTTGCAGCATTTCTTTCCACCTTCCCTGAACCCAGGTCACCTGGGCTCCCTAATGCTTTCTGGACATGCCACACACGCCTAGGTCTTGACCTTTGTCCACTGTCCCTCTGCCTAAGATGCCAATCCTTACCCCGTCTCTACCTGTTGAAGTCTAAATCCTAGCCGCCCCTGCTCTAGCACTCACTCCTAGCAGATAGAGCCTTCAGGAATTTGCTTCACTTTTGGTCTCACATTTCTCATGTGTGACATGAGTAATATTTGCAACACTGAGTTGCTGTGCATTAAATGATCTGTGTGAAGAGCCTACAGTGACGAATACAGTAGGCGCTCATGACAGGAGTTGCCTATCTTCTGTCATCCTTTAAATCTAGGTCAACTTCTACCTCCTCCATGAAGACTCCCTGGAGCTCATGAACCTGATGCCCCTCTCCCTCATCTGAAGCCACATCTGAAGCCACTGGTGCTTCTCAGTTTCCTTACTAGATTACAAGGGAGAATGGAGTTGCATCTTTTTGGCTATAGCTTGACCCAGAGGAAAGAACATAGCTTTTAAGGTCAGGCAAACCATGATTCTGAATCTAGAACAGACTGACTGACTAGCCCTGTGGGAAGTTAATTAACCTCTCTGCTTCTCAGTTTTGTCACCAATAAAAAGGAAATTAACAGTACCTTCATCAAATAATTATTGTGAGCATTATATAATTTATGTAAATCCCTTATTAGTGCCAGGCAGGCAGCAGATGTTGGCTTCATGTTAGTTATTGTCCTTCATGCTTCCCTTAGCAGACAGTGTGATACCTAGTACAGTGTTAACACAACTAGCAGAAAACTTAACAGTGTACTGAGTAAATGTTAAGGGTATATCAACCTGATCTAAACTAGCCTAGAATTTTCTGCTCACAGATCTACAGTCTCCTCTCCAAAGTTTCAATAAGAAAACGCTTCTTTCAAACATAAAATATGTAAAAGATATTGTTTAGAAAATCCACAAGTTTCTATACATCTGCCCACTGTGTAACATCAGAAATTCCTTCAGGCCAAGGTTTTCTCTTTAAAGGCCCAGAGTAATCGGGGGGCCTCTTAAGGACCACATAAGAAAATGCTCAGTTAGTAGAATTTCAAACACGTCAAGTAAGATGAAAAATTCTCAAGCTTCTTTCTAAGGCCTAAAATAAAACCATGTGGCATTCAAATAGAATTTGGGATGACCAGGTGTGATTTGTTAGGTACAGACTCTGAGAATTACAGCAGTGGTGAGAAACTCGAGAAAAGAAAGAGAAGGCTTGCTTGGTCTAGCTGGACTGGTATCTGTTCTAATAAGAATCTTAAGTTCAAACAATTTAAGCAAACATAATAATCACCATCCTTTATAAAAACAGCCACTATTAGAAGGGATGAGAAACATGCTTGACTTAAAATGTCCATATGACATATTTTACTTGGGTGATTCTTCTTTTCCTTGTGCTAATTTCTTAAGGACCTATGCAGACTTCCACAGCCAGTCCAAATTTCTCTGCCTAGCTCTCAAGACCCTCTACAAACAGTCTGGTTTCTTCATGCAACTGAGTCTTTTTGTCTCTGTGCCTCTTCACATGGTCGCCTCATCCGTACCTTTCACACATGTCCCTTCTCCCTTCCTCCTGTCCAGGACATACCCTGCCGTCCAAGTCTAGTTCAAGTCCCCACAAAGCCTTGTCTGCCTCCTCCAACTCACCTATTTCCTTGCTGTTCTGAATTCCTTTTGTGCTTAAAAAACAATATCAAGTAATTTAGCAATGACGAGGTCCCAATTGGTTTGTGTTAATTTTGCCTCCCAAACTAAGAGGCAATCTCCTATTTTATATGATCCTCTAGACAGAGGAAAATAAACACATGCTAATACTTGTTGAATGATTTAGTTGTTACCTGTTTCAAAATTATTAGTGTGAGATCCTGACTAAGTTCACCATCACTTAGGCTGTATGTTCTGCCACCTTAAATGCAGTCTAGAACAATGAGGGGAATGACTCACAGAAACAGTCCGACCCACTGACCCACTATTTGTTGTTAGTATTCAGGATGGTTTGCATGAGGCACTGATAAATAGCTGTGGCTATATGAAGGCCTTTTCTCATTTTAATTGGACAGAAAACTATTCAGTGGCTAAAAAAGTAAGAGTTGGCAGTAAGAGTGAGCTATTGATATAAGAGGGTTTATAAGAAGGTATTCATGGAAAATACAAGTCGCCTCTTCCAATTCAAGTTATTATTACTTTTTTGGGTCTATTCTTAGAGACACATAACGTAGGTATCTATGTCGATAGCATCCAACCTTCCAGGTCACCCATAGATGTTTAAGTGCTGAGCTAGAGAAGAAACTATTGTTTAGGATAAAACACTTCTTGGATAGTCAGAATGTTTAAAAAGGAAGTTTAAGTCTGGCAATACAGTTACGGCAATGTTGATTGGGGAGAAAAGCGCCAAAACAGAACTAAGTGTTCAGAATAAATTCGGGCAGCGGGGAATCACCAGCCCATATCATGTCTGAATGGAAGGGAAATAAAGGAGCCCCGTGGAAAGCTGGTAACTCCAGAACCCAGAGAGAATGCAGACACGAGCAGGCTGTTCACCCAAGTTAGGTCTGAAAGGTGGAAGTTAGTGCTATTCTACTAAAAAAGCTGGCCAGCATTAATGAAATTTGATGAGAGTTGTGGAGACTTTCCATTAGAAGGCCTACAAGTGGGGTACACATTGCAGAAGGAAGAACCCCACTCCCAGGAAATGCCCCAGTAAACAGAGACTTAGACATGCAAGCAATGAATCTGTATTCTTACAGAGGGAAATCACACAATTTAGCACTCACTACAAAACTGGTTAAATGGAAGTCACAGGCTACAGCTTAAAAGCAAGAAAAGAAAGGCCCTTGGCCTCCCATGGCAAAGTCAAAAATCAACACTCCTCAACACCACCACCAAAACCAAAACCACAAAGAGCCCCTTCCCCGAGAAAAAGAAAACACTTTCACTACAGCTCTTTTCAATTAAGTAAAAAGCACACAGTTTAGCTATCAACACCACTTCATTACTGTAATAAATAAAATAAAGCACACGGAGGTCTATTGACTATTGTGGAAAATAAAACAACACCACCAACATCCATGCATCGTTAATCACCATCTGAGTTTGTGTGTCTGAGTCTACTGGTTACAGAGCTTAATTCCAAACAGAACTATTCCACCTCTTATCATCGTATCCTTCTGATCAGTTAGCTTAACTGTATACGAGCCCTGTCAGGTTAGAAAGAGATAAATAAAATTGAGTCAAGTTGAACAGTAGTAATGGTGCTGGGACATGATCGTCTTGTACACAAGTCATACCTGGTATTTTTGTGTTTTGTTTTGTTAATCATACGCAAAATTTGTTTGGAGGCTGCAAACTTGGTCAGATAACTTGACTCATCTAAAAATATTTGTATTATCAGCATTAAAAATACACAAACATAGATTAAGTATATATAACCAGGAACATTCTGTGACATGACAAAGGTCTTGTCTGTATATTACAAAGAGGCTGGTTAACAAATGATAGACATATTGAATCTTAGGAGGGGCTGATTAACTGACTTACCCAAAAGGTCTTTGTATAAGGGCTGGATGAAGCTGTTGAACACCAAAGGCAAAACCTAACAATAAAACATACCACAGTCTCTATTTATGCATGGTTAGGCATTCATTAGTCCTACATATAAAATGCAAACACAACTTTCACTTAGAAAAGATAACCATTCTTTTGATTCTTTGGAGAAAACATTACATATGTTTTTTTTTTAAGGCATTTTTATTAATGTTATTGATTCAAAGCACTGGATAGGCTACAGGTGGAAGCTAAAATTATCTGCAAAGTTTAGCCAGCAGACATAGAATAAGACCTTAGAAAATTAGACCGGGGAAAAAATTCTCATGAAATGAACCAAGAACAACAGGAGTTGATAATGGAGTTACATGTCATAAATATTCTTATCATTTTGAATCATGATCTATAAAAACTCTTTGCAACTTGGAACATTCTGGAATGTTAGACAAAACTTTAGACAATGTTTTGGAAGATGATGGGTTTTACTGATTACAGCATTAAAAATTCACAAAAACAAACTTTTCTGGATAGTACACACAAAATGTTATTAGACAAATACACGTTTTTTAATGTTCACGGATATTTGCACACTTTCTAGACAATCTAGTTCCTTAGTAAATCTATTTGTATCAAGTGTCAACCTATTCCCAGTATTTCAGATGGGAAGACTGAAGAGTGGAGAGTACACGATTTAATCAGAGTTTCTTACCCAAGGAAAAGATCACATTTGCTCAATAGTCAACTCTCATTACTGGTGCTATTGCAAAGGACAGTGTTGTAAGTAACCCAAAAGGTCATATTTTCACATAGACAAAATTCTGCTCTCTTTTGCTGCCTAATTGCTACATAGCTTTGGAGTAAACTGCTTCTCATCTCTGAGCCTCAGTTTTTTCAGCTATAGCATGAAGGGCCTGGAGTACATGAAATCTATTTAATTACTAATGTTCTGTGATTTTATGTTAAACACTTACCAACCAGACCCCACCCCACCCCCCATGCTTCTCCTGGGTCAGTGTACAAGCGGGATTGCCTGCTCTGAGTACAGAACAATCGCTAGTAGGAGAGACAACGCTAGGGAGGGTGTGTAACAAACTGTCCAGACCCCCAAGATCTATTTTTGCACAGAGGTACATTTCAAATCCTGAAAGGAGTGTTTCCAACTCTCATTTGTTCAATGCCTTGGTAGAATGACCAGCTAGGGTTCACCTCTGCTAAACACATCTACATATTCTCAAGGAACCAACATCTTCTGAATCAGGAGTCCATTCTATTCACAAGTGGGGGTTTCAAGAGGGGGTTTCAGAGGGACATTTCTCACCTGGCTGCATGATCCTCGGCTTTGCTCCCAAATATGCCAGATTCACGTTGGCCTTCCTGCCATCAATGATGGGGTTGGGATCCTTACAGGCTCTTTCGGCAGCAGCCCGGTCAGCCATGGTGACCTTAGCAACACACACAGGCGACAGACAGACAGACAGACAGACATACAAAGCTCTAGATCAAGCCCTGGAGGAAACCAAGAACTGCTCTGGAGAAGCATTCAAGATAAAACTTAGTGGGTTCTTAAACTTTTTCTTTCTTCTCTTCTTGTCTTTCTGGTGGAACTTACTCCTTGATCCCCTGCCACCACCCCCTCCCCCAGCCCACTAAGAAAAGATTAAGAGGAAAACAGAAAGGAAGAAAGACCCCCCCCCACTGCTCCCCACGCACCCCCTGAAGTCCTAAGGGTGTAGTAGGGCCTAGTAGGAATTGGGGGGCCTGAATTCCATCTTACAGCTCCTCTAGGTTTCCCACCTCACCCCCCTACTCCACGGCCCCCAGGTCCCTACCAGGCCTGAGAGCCGCTGTTTGCTTTAAATAAAGTCCAGTCTCACATCCGCCCCGGTGCTCCCAACCACCCGCAAACACTCCCCAACGACAATGGCTATCGTCCTCTTTGGGGCTCCCTGCTCCTCAGCCACTGAATTTGCACGCTTACATCTCCGGTAAGCCTAAGTTGCTCTTTCAGTTCGGCCAAGAGCCACAGGATCGTCTTTTTAAAGAACGCACTTGCTCAATTAAGAAGTGCGCGTGTGTGTGTGTGTGTGTGAGTGAGTGAGTGAGTGAGTGAGTGTGTGTGTGTGTGTGTGTGTGTGTGTGTGTGTGTGTGTGTGTGTGGTGGGCATACGCGGAGGGCCCTGGACCTCCTGGGCGCCCCTCCCTGCCCGGAACACCCGCACTCGTTTTTACAAAGCAACCCCGCGCTGCAGCCCCGGCCTCGGTGCCCCTCCTTCCGCGCCCCCCGCACCCCAGTCCGCCGTCCTCAGCCCTCTCCTTCACCCTGCCCCGGCCTCCCCACGCAGCATCGCGCTGGGTCCCTCGGAGGCCGCGAGGCAGGACCGGCCCCGCTCCCCCCGCGCCGCCACGCGCAAACTTTCAGTTCAGCCGGAGCCGGGGGGCAGCGCCGCTCACGCCCGCGGGGCTCTTCCCGACTGGGACCCCGCGGCCGGGCGCCCCTCCGTCCCCCCCGCCGGGCTCTGCCGCCCTCCCCCACCCCCGTCCGCGCGACTTACAAATCCGTAGCCCCGGGACTTGCCCGTCTGCCGGTCGGTGATGACCACCGCCTCCTCGATCTCGCCGAAGACCTCGAAGTACTTGCGCAGGCTGGCGTCGGTGGTGTGGTAGGGCAGCCCCCCGACGAAGATCTTGGTGTACGTCGTGTCCTTCTGGGTCGTGTGCATCTTCGGGCTGCGGCTGCGGCTGCGGCTGCGGCTCGGGCAGCGGCTGCGCCTCCTCCTCCGGCCCCGCGTCTCCCGCAGCCTCTCGCGGCCGCCGGGGACCGAGGGCGAGCGCGGCGGCGCGGGCGGCGGCGCGGCGGGGGCGAGCGGCCGGGGGCGGCCGGGGGCGCGGGGCGCGCGGCTGCCGAGGTGGCCCGCAGCCCCGGAGACTCGCGTTCGCGCTCTCCTCCCGCCCCCCCTGCCGGTCCCGGTGCGGATCCTCCGGGGCGTTGGGCCCGGGACCGTGTTCCGGAGAAGGTGCACGCGGCTCCCACTCCCCGGCTGGGGGGCCGGAAAGGAAAAGGGCGGTGGTCCCCGCGCGAAGAGCCGGGCGCGTTAGAGGTAGATGTCCTTAGAAATTAGGTAGGTGCGCGGGCGGGGCGGGCGGGGGCGCGGCGGCGGGGCTGGGCGGGGGGCTCCGCGCGGCGCCGGCTGCCGTGCTGTCCCTGCCGCCGCGGAGGCTGGAAGACGAGTGGCGGGGCCGGCGGGGCGCCTCCCCGCTCCCTTCCCCCGCGGGCCGGGGTCGGCGCCCGGCTGGGGAGGGGCGGGCCGGACGCCTGCGATTGGCCGCGGCCGCACCTGGGGCGCCGGGCGCCGCCGCCCCCCAGCTGCTGCGAACAGCTGCCTCCCGCGCGGCGGGCTGGGGCTCGGGGGCCGGGCTGGGCGAGGGCTGCGGGCGGCCTTGCTCCGCGCCGCCGGCTCCGACCCGCTGGAGACCCAGGGTCTCGGCGCGGGGACTGGGCCCGAGAGGCAGCTGCGCGCGCTCCGGAACGACGGCACGAGTTCCTGCGTTCGGCCTCGGGGACCGGGCCCGCGACCCGGACCGCGGAGCTGGGAGCCCCGCGCGAGGCCTGGGGCGGTTGGCGGAGAGGCCAGTCCCCTCCCAGGAGAGCTGGGCCAACCGATGACTCGAGTTGGATGCCCCGGGGTCCGGGTCCCCTACCTTCCTTGACGCCAAAGAGCCAGTGCTGGGAGAACCGGCGAGGCACTCGGACAGGACAGAGAGCGTCCAGCGCCGGGTGTGCTGGGACGAGCCGCGAGCTCTGATCGCTCACGGTCCGGCCAGCTAAGGAAAGCAGACACCTAAGCCTGTCAGGCACCTCTGTCCACTTCGGAGGACCAGACATGAGGTCTTTCGCCCCCAGGCACCAAATTTGTGTTTCCTCCCTAACTGGCCAGGAAGATTGGTTTCTTATCATGGAGCACCCCCACCTCCTCTCTCTCTCTCTCTCTTTTTTTTTCCTAAGCAGAGAATTAATCTCTTTCCTTCTATTTGAATTGCAAAGAATGTTTAGTGATTTGACCTCCACTGATCAAGATGTACTATAACGGGAAAAGGTGTAATTTTTGAAATCGACTTGTTACATAACCACTGGTTTCTACCAGCAGCCTGTTAAAGCATTTGTAGAAAATACAGAGTTTAGCGTATCCCATATATATATGTATACACGTTTTTAATATAAGCCTTTTACAACTTCTTTTTATCAACAGTACGTTCAGTTTGGCTGTAAAATCCTTGTCATAGTTGAGGTTTGAATGAAGGTACTTCATGTGAGCAGAATGTTTTACCCACCACTGTTGGCCCACGATTTGCTTTTAAGTCATTTCCTCAGGTGTCCGCTGAAGTCCGTGTGTTAATTGCCAAATTATTCCCTTTACAGCAGTAACATATGTTAACCTAATAGAAAGCCATGCAATTCTGTTTCTTTTTCCAGGGACCTTTGCAGTCAGCCTAAGAGGATGAGATATATTGCATTTGCAAAAGCTAATGAGAATGCAGATATTCTTGTACAAAATGTTAAATTCTGTCATTCGTCTTGCTGACTTCTGCATGAGATTGGCTTTCTGAGGTCATCATTCAATTTGAACCCCCCAGTGGAGAAAGAAATCTGAAGTTTTTTTGAAAAATTGTTTTAAAAATCCAATTAAAAAATAAAATATTTTACAGGCATAGGAGAGTGGAATTGTAAATGACACTCTGTCCTCATTGCTAAAGTAAAGTACAGGTTTTAAAGGGACTCTCTGTACTGGTATGAGGAAAGATAATTTTTTAAAGATGAAAAAGGCAAAGCAGGCTGTTAAACAGAGGAGGCGTGTTTTTTAATATTCAACATCCACCCTGCAGTTTCACTTAAGATTTACCGTACTTAGATGAGGCTCGGGCAAAACCTCTTTTGTGAGGGGAAGCTGCTTACAGACAAGCCTGGAGAGTGCCTGTGGCTGCCTCTCCTCTCTGTCTGGATGGGGAGCCCACCCTGGAAGGGCTGGTGATAATGTCAGGGAAGGGGGGTGTTTGGGAGAAGAGCCAGCAGCTCGGATGTGCACTCGGTAAAGTGGCGAGATCTACATGGAAATTCTGATTCCAGGTTGGGATACTTAGGTCACAGAACGAAGCTTCTGGAAACAAGGTGCTTCCCTGCCATCACCCCAGAGAAAATAATGCAGCCACTCTCGCTCTACGACATTCAAGCCCTTATTGGTATGCTTTTATTCTTTCAGTCAGCAGTAAATATTTGAAAGCTTTGCTTAAAACTTTGTTTACTTTGTAGGAAGGGATGCCTGGATATCCCTGATTTTGAATTCCAGAGATAATTAAAACATCACTAACAATTTGGTGTCTGTGATTCACTAAGAACAAAGGTTGTGAGGAATGGAGATTCCTCATTTTCCAAACGGATTTAAATAGAAGCCAGAAGTCATACCCACCGCAGCTTGACAAGCCACCCAGTGCCCACAGGTGGGCACTGTGCTAGGACTGGGCGAATTTTCACTGGGTTTGTTTCCCGTCAGCCCGAAGGTGGGTACAGTTACAAAGGCCAGGTCCATTCTTGGTGGATTTATGAATGTGAACCATTAGACCATGTAGCCTTGGGGCCATAAAATCTTTCTAAATTCAAAGTTTCAAGGTTAAGTATCAAATATTTCTGTAAAATTACCTAGTACAAATACAGGTTTGAAAAACAATAGTTGGGTAACCCTTTGGCTTTCTCAGGGCTTTGGGCAGAGAAGAACACTTATATATCCACAGACCTTGTGCAAAATGATGAGTGGTTCTTTGGAAAAAAAGAGCCATAAAATACCTCAAAAGTTATAATAGGTTCCAAGCTTGTCATATCCAAATTAGTACATATGGATGGCCCGAAATCCTTGGTTTCTACTCCATGGCAAGATCAGAATTATTTTATTACTTATAGTAAATTAATGTCCACATTGTTCAAAATCTTCATCTGACTATGAAAGGCCACAACCAAATTCACATTTCGCATTAATTATCTATTTTCTCTGTGCTCCCCCTCTTAAGTTAATCATGAAAATCAACTCCAGGCCTAAGGCTTATGAAGAATTTTGAAGAAAGGGAGTGATATTTCATGAAAGCAGAGAAGCACCACTTCAGAGACAGGACAGTGAACAACTGTTTACTGAGGAGCAGTGATATCGCAAGGGGACCACCTGTAAATCTGATGGCAAAAAAAAAAAAAACATTCTTAATTAGAACCGATGACTTTTCAGAGTATTTTGCCAGGCAATTTATTTTAAACAAAAATATGGCTTCGACGATGTCTTTTGTCTGGGCTGTTTGGAAAGTTTACCTTCTTTTGAGAGTCTGTGCCCTCATTTGGCGGTAAAACCTACAGGTTTTCTGCCCTTTTGAGAAGCCCCGTGATTGGCTGTAGTTCCGCTTCTCTGGGTGGGTGGGTAATTTTCTCTTAGTAAGAGATGACAAATGTGTGTAGTAGGTTATGCTGTTTTCGTGTGCAGAAGAAACTGGTCATCAGAAACAGAGTTCAGCTCAGACCACCTCTGGGAGAATTCTATTCATGCTGCATTGAACTGCATCTAAGCTAGTACGTAAAGTGAAATGGAAATTTGTAACTGTTACTCAATCATTGAAGTCACAATGTCTTTTTTTACATCAAACATTCAGAAAGCAGAATAGGGTTACTTGGAGGATGGGGGAAAGGCAAGATAAAAGTGAGCAGACAAAGTTCATTGCCAATTTCACCTCCCGTAGTTCACTCGGCCATGTGGAAGTGCCTTTAAGGCACTTCGAATTCTATTTTAAGAATTTGTAAGGCAAGGAGGAGAATGCAAACATTTTAAAACCACTGTGTGCTTGTTCATCTGTACAATTCAGGGTGTACTTTGGTTTAAAGTCTTTAAACAGTGATCCTCGGAGCTGCCAAGTGTCTTTAGGGAGCTGATGATGCTCCAAACGTATTGAATGACTCTCCCTTGATGACAGATTCTTTCTAATGACGTTGCTGTATGCTGGGCAGAGGGCACAGTGTAGTGGAAAGAGCCCTAGATCCCAAGTCAGAAGACGTAGGGCCTAGCCCAGGCACTCAGGAAGCAGCTACAAGGCCGTGTTCGGTTGCCTCCGTTAAACAGTACAAGGTGGTTAGAAAAACTGCGGTTATGGAAGATTGACAGTCTTCCCGGGGCAGACACGCCGTAGAATACAGAGTGCTAATCTGAACTTCTATTTATACAGAAGTGTGTAGAGGATCGCCTAGGATTTATGAGGTAGCCCTATGTGAACACTCAAGTGTTATTTATTTACTTTTTAACTTGAACTACTTGAGATCATTTTGTAAGATTGGTGTTTTCTCTGCTAACAAAGGAAAGGCATATTCATGACAGAAAATCATGAAAAAGCATAAAAATGTACAAAGAAGAAAATCAAAATCACCCAGAATAATGTAGCATTTCAGAGTACATCATCCCAGGTGTTTCAGATGCTTCTGTTGACTCGCTGCCTC